CACACAAAAATTGTTTTTTTTTAGTTTGTTATGGTTCGAATTGGTACTACACTGTTCAAAATTTCATGACCATTTAACACCATACATGGTCTATATCGATACAAACCAAAATGGTGTTAAATATGGTTTCGTTGGGCCAGTGTAAATTCAAATACTAAAATAGTGTAAATTTAACTTTCACACAGTATTAAAATAAATTTTACCTGGTGTAAATTGACGCATTACTAGTATATTACCAGTGGCATTATTTCAGAAAATTGAACCTTCAATCGCTAGAGATAATGTTTTTAGTACGTTCCACCAACTTAAAATACTTCAAGTATTGACAGCTGTTTAGTATCGAACAACTTGTAGTGTCACACCAAAGCAAAGGACTACCTGAGCTTATATACTCCCTATAGGGAGTATATAAGCTACATATGTAAGTCAACAGAGGCGTGATTTAAGAACATCAAGTGATCCACACCGCCTTTGCTGCGATCGGTATATACTATGCAACCAGGAATGCACGGCAAATTGTTTTAATCGTTTTAACAGAGTGCTTTAGGTTGAAGTAACTCTTATTTTACAAACAACATATTTAGTAAACTGAACCATACAGCGGGTTGGATTTACTAAAGTTGTCTGAGTTAATTTAACCAATTTAAAAAAAAATAAAATAACTATCTGGTTTAGTCAAACTAATCTTTGTTTATATTAACCTTCCCACAGTTGATTTAAATAAATACTTATGGGTCAACTAAATTAATATAGTTAAATGAACTATTCCTTTTTTCTGTGTAGGTGCACTTCTCAAATATTTTTAGATAAACACCGTTTTGGTGTTTATACTACCCGAAAACTCTTCTGGTTCGTTTTCATTGTGCCACCCTGTATACATTTTTTAATTTAAGTTTTTTCGGAAACCTTTAAAGTATAGTTTAATTTTTAGATTTTTTTTTTATAAAATATAAGAATTTTAATAAAAATTCGATTTCTCTTAACATTTAACAAATTATCACGTTTCAAAAATTCACTCGAGGGCAATTTTCAATTATGAGGAATGAAGGCGTACCTGCGTAAATATGTTTATGAATTTTAATAATTCAGGAAACATTAAAGTGCATCGTGTTGTAAAACTCATAAAATTTATTATGCATGTATAATTTTATTTTCAGTTTGCATTGTTGACTATTTATAAAATTTTGTTCGCAATCTTGAAGCTTATATCAGCCAATAGGTATCCTATAAATATTATGTTTTTTGTATTTTTAACCTCCGTAACTATGATTTCAGTTCAGCTATGTTGATGTGGTTAAAAGAATTTACCGATGGCAAATTTAACTTATGATTCAAAGTCAATATCCGAAACCTTCGAGGATTTGTATACATTACACTTGTGGTTTTTAATTCGTTTAGAAATGCTTGCTTGAGTCACATTTTCTCCAAAAATAATATTTCACGCCAATGAGGAGGTGTATTTGTTTACTTTAAAACTCTATAATTGCAAAAACTTAATTGCCTCATTTTATGTAAGTACTAACATTTTGGCTTATTAATTACCGTGTAATAGAAAATCTATATTTAAAAATATTCATCAGTAAACTGGAAAGAATTTAAATACGCGCATGGGAAACTCTCACGTTTAATTTAAGCTTGTTAATTTTATATTTATATCCTTAGTATGAAAATAAATTAATTGAATAACTTGAATAAGGAATAATTAGATAAATACCAAATGCAATAAATTGTAGAATTGTTACTGTAGTATTTTGAAAATGCCTAATAGGCAGTGGCACATTTCTATAGGGTCTATTTTATATCATATTAATCTAACAAATTTTATTATAGATAAAAATACAAATTTATAAATACTTAATATGACTGGCATATGTGCCAAACTAAATCGCTAATCGACAACATTTTAAAAAATTACCTACCAAATTTATTATGTTTATATATTTTAAAAATTATGTTTCCAAATCCTTTGAGTTGCTAAAAATAATTATTATAATGATTTAAACAAAAATATTTATTTATATTTACAACTTTTTCGAGATTTTTCAAAATTTAAATTGGCGAAATGAGCAAGTTTTACACTCATATTTTATTTTAAAATAACATGTTTCCAGGAGTAAAAAACACAAATTAAATAGTATAAAAAAATAAATAAATTTTATTTCTTGTGGATTAAGGTAAAAATATTTTTTTTTTGAATTTCATTATTATGGATAATGGTAAGATTTAGAAAACAATCTATGGAAAATTTTCATTATAGGTACGGTCAATGCTCTTGCACGAAAAATTCAAAAAGCTTTTTATCGCTTTTGACTCCGAAAAAATGTTTTTTCGCAGCAATGTACTTAAAAAAGTAGTTAATTTAAACAAAAACTTTTTTATTAAATTTTTTAACGAAATAATTTGTTAAACATTAACAAAATAATCTGTAACCTTTAAAATTAACAAAATGCTTACAAAATTGCTTACAACCTTTACAAAAATTTTGGTAGAATATTTTCCTTTGTTAAAATAATTACAATCTCTCGTTTTCTACAAAAAATTATGTTAAAATTTTACAAAATTAAATTAACAAACTACAAACTCATGGTAACAAATCTGATTTTTATAACAGTGTATGGTTGAGCTTTTTTTAAAAACAATTTATGCTAAGAAAATGACTAGGTATGGTAAATTTTTTCCGACAGATTGGCAATTTTTCACTTTTTTGGGGACTTAAGGGTTACCTAAGGGTTACCAAAGTGATACAAAGCCCAGTGTTTTTTTTTTAGACTGAAAGCAAGCAAAATCAAAAAAAAAATATTTTGAAACATTACCTATATTATGTACCTATATTATAATTAGTTATGTATAATAATTTTTTTCAGTATTATTAATATAGCATATGTATACCATAGTACGGATAATACGAGAACAAATTCAAAAATAAAATAAAATGCAACAGTCAATTTTTTATTACGATTTTCCAATTTTTCCGTTTGTTCTTTCGTTTATTTCCATTTTTTTCGTGAAATTTTAAAACGCTACCAGTATTTATAACAATAAAGTTGGAAAAATATCATCAATTGTATAACACAACAAATTGTAAAAAAAAACAAAAATAAAATTATGTTTAATTACAGGATAACATTATAATAACAAATTACGAAAATAGAAAAGTTCTCTCTTCCTAAGGCTGAAACCCAATGCAATGGTAACGGTAGATCGTAGTCTAAGAATCTTATAGCATTGATTACCAGCATTTCCATGATTTATTGAGACAATCGAACGCACGTATCGTTTTGTTAAACACCGGAAACGTAAAATAGCGGCGGCTCATTCGAAAAGGGTACCCGATAGGTACCTGGTGAAACTAAAAACGTGAACGGACAATGACTGACACGCATTGCCTTTTGTAGAGGCTACGTTCATTCATGATCGCCTACGCCTTTAAGCCAGTCTTTCACGACACTTACACACACTACACCCAGGGCCGGATTCGGCAAACATGGAGCCCTGAGCTAGATTTATTATTCTCTTTCGAAATAGACCAGGAACCATTGCCTCTGACCTTTTTCTCCGTATTATTTTTTAAAATAAACTTAAATACATAGAAGCCGGCCCTGTACACTGCCAAGCATCTTTTCATTGAATGTCCCAGGGGTGGATTTCGGCCCATTATAATGCATTATCTTCTCGTTACTTGGAAATTGCCGAGACTTTCGATTACTGTTATACGAACACGTTAAACGCAAGCTGCATAACAATCGCACCAAACGGATTAAGAAATAAGATTTTCAATGCCCACGTACTTCAGATTTCACACCAATTAGTGCCACAAAACGCTGAATGTGCAAGAATGAATGTTTCCTTAAAGTATTCTACGATTTCTCTGGAAAATTGAAAATAAGAAATTTTTCAATAAAAAATTCAAATTTTGCAAGAAATTGTTTTTTTTTTATTTGAAACTGGTGCATCATGATGTAGGGGTCCAGTCCAATTAATTTTTTTAAAAATTTATACAGGGTGTTTCCTAATGGGATGCTCCAAAACTTGAAAATTTAATATCTTTAAATTTTGATATGATACTGCTAAACCTAGCACGGATTTGTGTTCTTCGACCAAAAATTAAGATTTTAGTTACACCCTAAATAATATAATCTGATAAATTTATTGATCTAATACAATATTTTATTACATCGCATGAAAGTTAATAATGTCTTTATATTCAAGTTCAACACTGAATATTCAAGTTTCCACCAACAATTTGGCATAAGAAATACATAAAATTATAAAATTATAATTAAAATAATTTTAAATATGAAATACGATCATTTCCTAGACTTGGCAGGATTTCTTTTCTTTTTATGTTTTCTTAAGTCTAAAAGATGCATTTTCTATAGTTAACATTCATAAAAAATGCGTGTGGTCATCATTTTCTACAATGCGAGCCGAGAGCCATCTTTCCAAAATCTTATATCCAATGTTTTCATCACTGCACAAAACTCGATTTTCTCTCCGAAAATATCAAAATTTCGAAAGTAGTATACTGACAGATTGCACTTCTCAGGAAAAAACTAATTTGGCTAATACTATACCATTTTGTTAAAAAACAAACTTTTTTACACTTTGGGTTATAATTTCTTGAAAATCTGATGTGTTTGAGCAATTTTGATTCAGCACTTCAAAACGATATAGTCTGGTTTTTGTTTGGTAGCCCTGTACAAATATCAATATTGTAAAATAATACTTCCTCCATTAAGTAACGTTTTTACATTAGCTTCCGTAAACGTTAAATAGAACATTCAAATTTATCACAGAGATTATCGCATGGCATTATGATAAAATTATAATGACTCCTTGCAATCATGCCATAATCAATCAATTATAACATTATTTATTCATGAGCAAAAAAGCCTGCTTCAAGGAAATCTATAAACACCAATCAATAATAATCAAGTCGTTGCAATGATGATGAATCGCCCAACAATATCAATTTTAACGTTTTTTACGTTTTGTTTCAGATGGGAAACGACCTTCACCTAGTTATGATTTTCATGCTGGCATTTAGTTGCATAACGTCGAGTCTAGCCTTGAGAAACCCACCCAGCGATTCCATACTAGACATCATTAACATGAAAGAAGTTCAAAGGATAATAGCCGAAAAGAAGGAGAACCAAACCAAAGAAGAAAATAGGTTTCTGCTGGACAATGATTTGAATGAAAATTATATTCCTCCAGAACCAGAATACGAGATACAAAAAGCTGAGGAGCCTCCCAAAACCGAGAACCCCAGGATAGACATCGATGTTTTATTGAAGAGGAATAACTTTACTGAGCCCTATCGTGGCACAGATTTGCTACAAGACTTGCGTGGTTTTAACGGAAGAAAGGTGTTGAAATCAAGCAAAAATGCTGTGTTGGTGACTAAGAAAGAATACCTACAAAGAGACTGGTGTAAAACAGAACCGCTAGTCCAAAAAATCAAAGAGAAAGGTTGTCTGACAAGAACCATGATTAACAGATTCTGTTACGGTCAATGCAACTCATTTTACATCCCGAAAAACCCTAAAAGAAGAAACAGACATCGCCCTGTAGTCGAAGAAAGTGAAGACGAAGATACCAACGGTCCAGCTTTTAAGTACTGTGGTTTCTGTAAGCCCCAAAAATACACCTGGGTTACAGTAACCTTAAAATGCCCGAACATGGTGCCCCAATACAGAAAAAAGCGGATACAAAGAATCAAACAATGTTCTTGTTTACCTGGTAACGATTAAAACCTTAAAATGTGATAGTATTGAAGTATTTGCTGAAAATTTATATACATTCTATTTGCTTGGCCCCTCCTAAGCTGTTGCATCATAGAAAACAAATAGTAAGTAATTAATTAAACATAAAAATAACCATCCTTGTTCCACACCTTTGTTGCTTGTGTCAATTGTTTTTGCAAGCGATTGAGCTACTGGATTATAATGATCCGCCATAATGGATTCATAAATATTTATGAATGTTCATTCATTGTTGTAGTTATTAACAATTTTCAGCAATTACTACTCATATTTAAGTTATTTAGATTTTACAAAACAACTAATTCCACTAATAATTTTTTTTATAAACTTTGATGTATATTTTGGTTTATAGTTGTGCTAAATTCTTGCCTATATGATATATATTTATTTATTTCAACGTATGCATTAGTTATTGTGGCACTTCTTGATACAAAAGACTGTGTTAGATATATATAGGTAATATAAGCAATATTAGTTAGGTAATTAAATGTATGTGAGGTTGTAGAAAGCGCTTTGTTTTGGAAAAATGACAGCATACAATCGATTAGTTAATCCATTGAAATTGATAAAAGATGGGACAGTTTTCCTTTCTCTTGTAACTATAAATAAGCAATAAGGAATGGCTGTTCTATAAATAATTGATTTTTAGCGTCTGGTATCAGTACTGACGATACTAACAGTAATTATATCATTACTTATGACCACCAGCAATATGGTTGTAATAACACAAAATTACCCATTATTTTTTAAGGAGTAAAGTTTACTATTTTGGTATATGGCAATCTTATTTCTAATACTATTGTTATTACTTTTACATTAACATTTTAATTAAAATTTTAATATAAAAGGTAAAAACATACTTTTGTTTACATATTTTATGAAATATGTATCTACATACGTAATTTCTATTTTATAAATATTTGCAAATCCAATTATAAATTTAATTTTATACTGTGAATATTTTAAATTAAATTATAATAATTATATTATACTTTTTATAATAAAAAAATAAAATCACAAAATAATATAAAGAGTGGGTCTTTACATTACAACACATTAAATAGTTTTATTATAGTTTTCCGCCATTTCAAGCATCACAAAACTGTTTTTAGAAATAAAATTATAGGTAATTAATATATATTATTTGTCAAATATATTTTTCTGTTTTTAGGCTATGCATTAAATAAAAGAAAAGCAAGAAATATTTTATAAAATTAGAGATAGTTTTAATAACTGACAGGTAAATCTTTTTTTGTCCCGTCCATACACTGAAAAAAATAAGCTGTTGAAAAACAAAAAAAAAATTCAACTCTTTATGCACTTTAAATACAAGCAATGGTTTTTGCACGTTTACTTAACCATCTAAAAATATCAAATTGTATTGTTTAATTGAACAACAAATATTAGTCAAATGAACAAAATGAGAATATTTGTTCTAATTTGCTAATCTGGTTTATTAAACATTCTTAATCGGAGTAATATTTCGAAAATGGTTGTGCTAACATTTTTAAGATGTTAAGGTAAATTTCTTAAAATGTCCAGGTAACCTTTTTAACATATTTACTTAACACCAATAAAATGTTAAATTAAAATAAATTAAAATAATTTGTGCTAATGTTGGGTTAATTAAATTATGGAATTAATATAAAGAGAAAAAGTTGAACCTTCCCTCGCCAGAGTTTTTGTTTTGAGTGCGTTCCACCTACTTCAAATACCTACCAACAGACAGCTAATTCGACCTATATTGGGGGTCTTATCAGTCACTGATAATCAGTGTCGAGCAATTTGGTGTAGTGGAAGTTCCACTGTGGAACACACCGAAAACAAACGGCTACCTGAGCTTATATACTCCTATCGTAAGCCAACTGAGGCAAGATGTAAGAACATCACGTGATCAACACCGTCTAATGACGTGGCGTGGGTGTTCGAAGCGCCCTTCACGGCAATTTTATGAATGCAAAATTAACAATTTTAAAGTAACATTTACAATTTGTTAAATGAACAAATTTAATGTTTTGGATTTAAAGAGCAACTAAACGTTAATTTAATAGTTTTTTTAGGTAATCCTAAAAATTTCCGTATTTGATTCAACCAATTCCAGCTATTAAATCAAAATAGGATAAACATTTAAATTCAAAAAATTAGTTTATGTTAAATCAATATTTTAACTGTCAAATGAACAAATAAACTTTGACAAACTCTGACTATTGCTTTGACACCAAAATATAGATTAATCCAATAGGTTTTTTTATGAAACAACATTTTCAAAAATGACATTTAGGCAAACGTTAACTCAACTAAATTATTTTTTTCGGTGTACCTTTCAATTATTAAAGTTATCTTATATTATTTTATAAAATATTTCTTTCGTTTTTTTTATGTAATGTCTAGCCTAATAAAAGAAGAATATTTTTGACAATTTTGACACCAATAGTTCTTTATTAGACGGCCGTAGTTAATGCCCAATCGCAATATTCGAATGCATAAATTCTCTTTAACGTCACCGTTCATCATCTCAGCGTCCGTCTCGAAAGGTATCGACAAGAGGCGCCCGTATGCTCAACATGGAAATGCGGAAAACACGTTAATCACGCTAATTTGAAATCGACATTCAATAATAAACGCTGGCGGAGGAAGAAAGCAACTTGTATTACATAGTATATGTACTCGTAAATACAAGGTGGCACAAAAGTTGATAGACAAAAGTTTATTAATTTAATTTTTCTACATTACAAGTATTCAGGGTGGAACAAAAGTACCAAATAATAGCTTTAACTTTGTTATTTGTAATGTTGAAAAAAAGTTCAATATAAAAGATATTTATTTGGTTCAAAACCAAGCATGTTTTAAGTTTTTTAGTTTGTTGATATCTTTTTTTATTTGGTATGACACACATATTTTTTTTGAAAAAAGCATATTTTTCCGGATTCAGTAATCAAATTTTGAAATTTTTGACAAAAAAAAACGACTCAACCACAAATAATTTATTAATTTCACAACACTAAAATTTAGATAAAATTAAGTATTTAAAGGGTGACAAAGGTATACCTATAGGTAATGTTTCAATTTTATAACTGCATGACTTTTTCCATAACTTTCCTTATAAGAGATGACGAGTTATTTTTTTTTTAAATTTTAAAATGTACCTATGATTGAATATAGAGAAATATGCTGAACAAAAAATTGGTTGCCATAGAAACAAAATAAAAAAAGATTTCAACAAACTAAAAAACTCAAAACATGCTGTATACAGGGTGGGTTTGGCAACTTGTTGGAAAGTTCTTTAAAATGAAAATTGGCTGTGCAAGTTTTTTCTTATTTTAATTTAATTGTTATTTTTAATAAAAAAATCTAAAATTACAAAAATAAATAGACCATACAATTTGCCTAAAAATGTAATTAAGCGCATTATCTTAAAAACTTATGCAACGTTTAACCTACCTAAAGAGGAAAAACTACCCACAGCTAAAAAAATCTGTTTGCGAAAGTTGGTAATTTTAGATTTTTTTTTAAATTAAAAGTTAACTACCAAATTAAAATGAGAAAATAACTGAAGTATCATCAACTGAAGTAGTATAATCCCATTAAAAAAAAGAAGTGGGGTTGGATTTCCCCCCTAAAAGGGGGGAAAATTTGTCTTACTCTAGCGAATTAGTTCCAGTTAAAGTCCCCACCCTGTATACTTCTACTCTATACTCTAAATTCTAATACTCTTATAAGAGTTTTGAGATGCAGACAAAAATTAAATATCATATAAACAAATATTTTTTTATCAAATTTGGCAGTTTCATAAAAAAGATCCTAAAAAATTTATAAAATTTTATAAATATTGCGTATAATACTACTATTAATAATGATGAATAAATTACATTTTCCCCGCCTTTGTTTACACATATTATGTTAAGTGTCCCCTGAGAAGTAGAAAAGGAATCAAGTTTTTCCTTATAAATTAATTATGGGAACTGTCCACCATCTTGGATTTTGTGCTTTTGAAGATTTGCGCGCGTATTTTGCATTTTATGGAAATAGAATGTATGTATAGAATTAAATTACCTACAAATTTCTTACCTACCTTTTTTATCGATAATTGCAAAATACCTGTGAATTATTTTCACGAAAAAATCTAAAATGATTGGGCTATATAGTACATTTTATTTTTTCAAAATTGTTTTTTGTAACTTGCATAACATTTTTTTTTAATTTTTCAATTATTAATTAACTTTTTAGTGAATACGTTTTGAATATATTTTTTATTTAAGTCAGAATTTTTGAAAATAAGGGTTGAGGTTTTCCATTGTAATTTTATATTGAAAATCTAAAAGGTAATTTTGCGCCACCTTGTACATAACTATCGTACAGACGACCGCCCGACAAACAGACAGGCAGACCGTGCTAAAACCGCAGTAAAAATCGCCACAAAACCTGATTCCAAATCGAATTGCTTTAAAGTGTTGGAAATCGGCATTTTAACGAGTTCCTAGCATCTTAATCGTCCATAAAATTAATTTAAACATCTCACTTAAGAGATTTAAGCGTATCGCGGAGTATTGAAACGCTGTTAGGTTCGGCTTGTCTAGTTCCCATGCTACAATGTTTGACAGGCTGGGAAATCAAGTAATCAGGTTACCATCGTGTTTGAGCTTTATCGATAAATAATACTTAAATCGTTATTTACCGAACAAGAATCGGAGATACTTGTAACAGGAAACAGTTGTAAGTTTTAGAAATTACAATTACAATATTAATTAATTTGTTGGTTAATTAATTTATTTATTAATGATATAATGCATATTTTCCTTCTTATCATTTATTTCACCTCTCAAAAATTGACGTTAAATTTTACTTTGACAAATGTAAAGGAATTTTTATGAGTTTATTAAATAGGTATCTAAAGCATTTAAAAACATTTTTTTTGTGTTAAAAATTAAAAAAATATATGGGTGATTCTACAAAAGTTGGACAATTCAGTCAATCAGTCAATAGAGTAGGTAATTTAATATTTTTTGTAAATATTTTAGTATATTACAGGTTTTTTTAACTTTTCCACCCAATTTTAATGTATTTTTTCAAAAGCACGTTTGTAGAAAAACATAATAAATATTCAAAACATCAGTACCTTGGCGTGTCACAACTCCTGAATCAAATATTTGAGTGATTTTATTTTAAAATTTATTCAATTTATCTTAATTTTTTCAATTTCACTACAAACTTTAAAACATTAAATAATGTATTTTTCATATTTTATCATAGATTCGAATAATAGCAATTTTTAAAAAATTGATAATCTTTGTACTCACTTTTACACGTCAGTTCTGTGTCGAATGTTAAAATTCAAAATTCCTTCGAAATATTGAAGTTTAAACGTCAAGTCCTCGTTTTAACTCAAGTGTTAGTAAAAAATTACCTTTGCACGACAGTCATCTTGAAAACAATGCAAGCGGCGAAGTTGTGGTGAATGCACGTATAGTTTAGTCAAAATTTCAGTACTGTGGAGTAGTTATTTTCTTACGTATATATATTTCATTGTAATTTATATAAGGCTATATGTGATTTGTTGATAAGTAGCATTCACTAATAAAACATTTCAGTAAAATACTTAATTCCGAATTATAATCTCAAATTTGTACCGTGTCGTCAGTTCCATGTTCGATGTTTCGGTTATATTTT